GATGATAATCTTTCTCTGCGTTCCATTGTTGACTGTTTTATCTTCAGGGTGCTAACTGATGCTGTACAGGTGTGCCCAGTAAATGATCCAACAGATGATCAGCCTGAGAAGGGAACAGGAAAACCTCAGGGAGGCAGAAACGACGCCTCCTTCCAGGACAAGCGACCTTGCGGACTTCTGCTTTGAATCAGCCCAGGCACGAGCGCATGTGACCACAAGGGGGCGCCAAGGCAACGTCCCCAGCTCAGGATCCACGCAGATGGACGTTGCCTTTGGGTTTCCTTCATCAGCACAGTCTTCCTGTCTTCCCTGACAGCATTAGTGTTCATTCCAGAGACTTCTGGAAAGATGCATCAACTGTTCAGTAAAAAGTAGGAAACAAGCTTATACCCTAGACTCTGAAGTCCTAACCAGCCCCTACCCTGAAAGATCCACCCCAAACCAGACTTACAGTCTTAAGTATCTCAGCCGTGCCCTTTGGTTCATAATCTCAGTTTCATTTGTGAGAAAGGAAGGAGCCAGGTACAGCGTCACAAGCCTGAAATCCCAGTGACTTCAGGTGCTGAGGCAGGATACTAAGTTTGCGACCAGCCTCAGCAACTTAGCAAGGCTCCAAGCAACTCAGTGAGCGCCTATCTCAAAAACAACAACAACAACAACAACAACAACAACAACAAAAAAATCCCAAAAAACAAAAAAGACTGAGGTTGTAGCTCAGTGGTAAAGTGCCCCTTGTTTTAACCCAGTAACCCCCTCCCACCTCCACCACCCCCAAAGAAAAAAGCAGAACAAAGGAAGAGAACAAAACCTAAAACAAACAGAAGGAGACAGTGAGATGGAAGGAAGGAAAATAGAAAAAAAGAACTAAAAAATAAACATATAGCTGGGTGCATTGGTGCACACTCATTATTTGCAGCAGCTCAGGAGTCTGACACAGGAAAAGCACAAGTTCAAAGCCAGCCTCAGCAACTTAGTGAGGCCCTAAGCAACTTAGCAAGACCCTGTCTCAAAAAGTTAAAAGAGCTGGGGATGTAGCTTAGTGGTTAAGCACCCCTGGGTTCAATCCCTGGTACCAGAATTAAATAAAATTTTTAAAAAAGATAAAATTGTATCTTATTTAATTTTTGGTTCCGGGGATTGAACCCAAGTCTGAGCTACATTCCTAACCCTGTTTATTATTTATTTATTTTTGGGAGTATGGGGGATGGAACTCAGGGACACTGTTTATTTAGAGAGAGGGTTTCACTGAGTTGCTTAGTGCCTCCCTTTTGCTGAGGCTATCTTTGGACTCACGAGCCTCTTGTCTCAGTCTCCTCAGTCACTGGGATTACAGGCGTGTTGTGATAGAGTCTCACTAAGTTTCTGAGGCTGGTCTTGAAATTGCCATTCCTCTGCCTCTGCTACTGAGTAGCTGGGATTACAGGTATGCTACATCATATCTGCCAACCACACTGCTTTCAATGTGACAGCCATGTTCCCTCCCCAAAGTACCTTTCTAGCCCCCATTTCAGCTGGAGGTAACCCTGTGACTACTATCCATCCATTGATATGTACCCAAATGACTGTTTATGGTTTATGAGCATTTTCCTTAATAGGGAGTGTGTGGGCCCTTCTTCCCTTCCTCTTCCTTGCAGTCCAGAACATGGTTGTGATAGGTGGAGCAAAGCAGCAATTCTGGGCCATCCTGCTCCCTAGGATGCTGAGCAGAAAGTTATAAACCTGAAATTTCTGAGGATAAACAAACTCTTATTCATGTTCACACTGTGTCTACTCAGGGTTTGTTTAGGACAACTGTTAATCCTCCCAAAAGGGAGGTGTTGGAATTGCCTTGTGGACATCCAGGTCCAAGTGGCAAACATCTGAGAAGAACCTTCTGGAAGGCCACAAAATAAAGCATGTCACATAACTAAGCTTTGCATTGGGGAATTTTAGGTGACTACCATTTTTTCTTCTTTCTGTTTTTTTTTTTTTTTTACTAGTTATATTTTGGTGGAACTGGGAATTGAACTCAGGGGTCCTTTAGCATTGAGGCATATCATTAGTGCTCTTTTTATTTTTTATTTTTAGATAAGGTCTCTCTTACTTGCTGAGGCTGGGCTCAAACTTGCCATCCTCCTCCCTTAGCCTCCTGAGTGGCTGAGATTACAGGTTGCCACTGCTTCTGGTGGTTTTTACTAATTATTATGGCTTAGATATGACATCTCACCCACATCCCACGCAGGCAATGGAATTTGGGGTTCCTCTGCATGAAGCGGCTTAGCTGCAAAATAAATCTAAAAAAAGAAGGTGGTGAAAAAGAACACACCAAGCAGAAAGTAATTTTAGAAATCGAGGGCTGGACGGCTCTTCCACCTCAGAGGTCGACTTCTACACTGGAAAGAGAAAGCTAGAGCCCGGTTCGCTTTATTTATATTTTATTGAATATATATTTATATGGAACTTCAAAGGCTTTCTACAGAATGTTCTTCACCAAATAAAGTAGGAAGTGGGCTTTCCAGTTCCCAAGGGTCACGCCCAACTGGGGAGTTATGGATCCATCAGTCTTCCTAGGTGATCCAGGATAGAGGTCATGTGCATTGTGCAATCCATTAAGTGGGAGGAACCGCAAAATAGCTTGCAATGCCAAACCAAAATCTCCTTGGCTCAAGGCCAAGTGAAGACTTCTCAAATAGCTCCGGGGTGGCTCCCCACAATGACATGTTCCAGAAAAGCTCCTATGTTAATACAGGACTATTCAGAGGTAAAAGATTATAAGAGCTATAACTTAATCAGTCCAACGGAGCTTGAATAGACTGGGTGGTAACTGTGGACAGATGGGAAATGGCTGGAGAGGGTCATGGTCACCGGGGGGCAGGCCTTAGAAGTGTTTATCTTCCTTGTGGTGGCCCTTACCTGCTCTTGTTCTTCCTGGTCACCATGATCAGAGCAGCTTACCTCAGCCATCCTCTTCTGCCACAATGTTCTACCTCATCTTGGGACCGTGATCTCCAAATAAACTTTTCTTCCGCCAAGTTGTTCTTGTCAGGTATTTTGGTCACAGTGACAAAATGCTGACTAACAGACATTTTCTACAATCAACAAGTGTTACCTAACAAATACTAAGAGGAATTTAAGAAAGGAAATAGCAAAGAGCACCAACAGGTAATTCACAGAACCAGCAACACACATTGACTGCTATGAAAACAGTGTTCAATATCTTGGATTATTAAATGAGCACCAAAATACTGATATTCCTTTTTTCAGTTCTCATAGGAACGCATGTACCTTACATAACATCCAGGGTAAGACAAGACACTATGAGCCATCCTCCTCCCTTAGCCTCCAATGCAAACGTCTTATAAATGTATATGAAACTTTTAAGTGAGACACAGGATGTATGGAGTGGGAGATGTGGCAGGAGTTTGAGAGTTTGCTAAGGTTATTTTTGTGGTGGGAAAGAGATACTATTCAGTTTAAGAAAGAAATATAAGTAAATAAATATGTTTTAAAGGATAACCACTATAAAAATAAACAGAGTATGTTGCTTTTAAGGGACCAGGAAAACAAAAACAACAACCAAAAAAAAAAAAAAAACCCAATAAAATCCAAACCTTGATCTAGCCATGGACACACGAAAAACAGACAATACTTCTTAGTCAAGTACAAGGGAGTTTCCTTTCTTTGTTAAAGGTTATGTTCTAAAACCTATAATATCTACATTTAAAACTTGAGGGACCTTGAAGCTGGGTGTGGTGGTGCACACTCCCAGTAACCTGGGACACTGAAGGCAGGGGAATCACAAGTTTGAGGCTAGACTCAGTAGCTTAATCAGACCCTATCTCAAAAAAAAAAAAAAAAAAAAAAAGGACTGGGGATATAGCTCAATGGACAAGCGCCCCTGGATTCAGTTCCTAGTAACCCCCTCGACAAAAACAAAACAAAACAAATATTTAGGGATTTTGATAGTTGATTGACCAACAGAAGATTGGTAGGTAGATGATAGATACCCATAAATGAGAGGAAAGCATCGGAAGGGGTGGGTAGTACCAACATGACTTGCAGGCAAGGTGACCACCTATTGAGAATACTTACCAAATAAAACTCTTGTTTCTTGCCTTTTGTGCTGGAGCTACCTCATGTTCCTTTTAATCTGGTGTCTTGTCCCTGTGGATATGCCAGGGTTGGCTTTAAGGAAGGAGGTCAGAAATGCTCAGAACCATGACTTCTCCCATGAAGAAAAGATAAGTGTTGATTTCCATCATTGGCATCCTATGGGGATCCTGGGATCAGCGTCAGAGGCATCAGAAAGGATTATCCCGGCTCTAAAAGCCAGCTCTTCTATTTGATTCAGTACAAAAATAGTATATGTGCGTATCATATACCACACCCACAGACAGACCCACAGACACCTTGACCAAGGAAGTGCACCCTGGAAATAGGAAAGGTTCATTCGAGACATCTTTTATTGTGGGCCAACAGCTGCCTCTTAGGTTTTACCTTTCAGATTTTTCTCTTTTGTATTGCTGGTTGAAACCCTGGGCTTTGCCATTGAGTTATGCACCCTCTCCCTGCTTAGTTTTTTTTCTAGGGATTGAACCCAGGGACACTTAACTACTAAGAAACATCCCCAGCCCTTTTTAATATTTTATTTAGAGACAGGGTCTCACTGAGTTGTTTAGGGCCTCACTAAATTGCTGAGGCTGGCTTTGAACCCATAATCCTACTGCATTGTCCTCTCAAGCCACGGAGATTACAGGCACGCACTGCCCCCCCACCCCACCGATTTTACATTAGGAATATTAGTAATTTGTAATAAATAATTTCACAAGGGAACAAATCCAAAAACCCTATAATGGCCAAAGAAAACTGTCATCTGATTTACCTTTTCTGGGGTCAATTCCAGGATTTGTTTTGTTGTAAAGGGAATTCAAGGACCAACACATGATCCCAGTGATTGTTTTCAGGAACTGAGCCCAGAGCAAGGAAGGCATTTATAATGAAAATCCTGTTTCCATTTTTAGGAACAGATTTCCTTTGATTGCCACTTCTTGCCTTTCCGGATGAATCAGAAAATAATTTGATTGGACGAGTTAAGCACTTAGCCTGTGCCTGATGCATGCTGAGATTTCAGTCTTCATGAACTCAGATGGCATAAGCCACAAGCTCTCATGGCTGGTCCCTTCCAGGGCTCAAGGCTGGGAAACTATGAGGTCTGAGTATGTCATCCAGTTACATGGGAGCACACAGACAAGTGGAAGATACTCTGGCTGTCAGTATACAGAGGTAAGAAGTAAGCTGATCTGTTAATAGGCTAATTTATAATCTAAGCACTATCATTTTGTTTTGTTGTTTTTAGGTGTACTGAGGCTTGAACACGGGCACTCAACCACTGAGCCACATCTCCATTCCTATTTTGTATTTTATTTAGAGTCAGGGTCTCAGTGAGTTGCTTAGCATTTCAATCTTGCTGAGACTGGCTTTGAACTCGTGATCCTCTTGTCTCAGCTTCCCAAGCTACTGGGAATACAGGTGTGTGCCACCACACTCAGCTAAGCACTACCATTTGGATAAAATAAAACAATCTGTCAAGCTACATTGTGAGATTAAAATGTACAATTGCTAAAGAAATTCTTCAGTAAGTGACATGTTTCATATAAAAAGGAACAAAAGATTGGAGAACTTGAGAAGGTCATATTTTCTAACTCAGAATGTTAGTTCTCAATTAAAAAAGTAATAGGAAGAATAAGGGTTAGGTAGAAAGTGAGTTTTCATGTCAGATCTATGCAAAATGATACTTAATTCAAATCACTTGGAATTTTTTTTTTCTTTTTGTAGGGCTGGGTTTTGAACTCCTAGTCAAGCCCTCTATCATGGATCTTCACCCCCAGCCGCCTGAAGAGATTTTAGATCACAATGCTCGGGGTCATATCCAGAAATACCAGTGCAGGTGTAGACTGGGTAATACATACTTTTAATGGAAGTATCTCAGGGTCTTTGCATTTAAAGATAGTGACACAAGGTGGACATTTCCTTTTTCCCGTAGGAGGGGCCTGGTGGGGGAAGTAGGTCACTGGGACTGTCCTTGGAAGGCATATCTTTGACCTTTTCCCCTCCCTCTTTGCTTCTGGGCTGTCGTGAGGTGAGCTACTTTCCCCTCCACATTGCTCTGCCTTACCACTGGCTCAGAAACAATGGAACCAAGTGACCATAGACTGAAATCTTTCAAATGGTGTTTTTTTTTTCTCCTCTTTTTCAGTTGTTTTTATCAGGTATTTTTTCTCACAGCAGTGGAAAGCTGACTAACACAGGATGGGAATACAAACGTGGTGAAGGATATGTTCTAAAATTAGATTGTGGTGATGGTTGCACAGCTCTATAAATTAACTTTAAAAACCATCCAATTTACACCCAAAATGGGTGGATTTTTTGGGGAAGGGAGGTACAGGCACCACCTCTCACGAGCAGGTCAAGTACAGATGGACCGTCCCAGCAGGGGGGATGACTGTGCTGTGGAAGGCTATGTTGGTGGCAGGCTGGGTCTGCGCTGAATTCTGCTGCCCATTTGTTGGACGTCGCAGAAGCCTCAGCCTCTTCATCTTCATAGGCTGGGATGAGGGTACTGTCAGACAGGTTCCATAGGAGATGCAACATCCTGCCTGGAAGGTCCCCATTTACCCCTCAGTCCAGGAGGAGCCTCCCAGCCAATCTTGGTGTTCTCCAGGGCTATATAGCTCCCATGTGGACTTCATTTTTTCTAGTGAAAGCAAAAAGAAGCAGGTATAATTCATTCCAATGTTTTACTTAACCTAATATATCCCAAATATCATCAACAGACAGGTAATCAGTATGACTTTGTGTGTGTGTGTGTGTGTGTGTGTGTGTGTGTGTGTGTGTGTGGTGTGTAGCACTGGGATCTAACTCATGGCCTTTCACATGCTAGGCAAGTGCTCTACCACTGAGCTGCACCCCAACCCCTTTGATATAACTGTTATTAATGAGATGTTTTATATCCCTTTTTCTTATAAACTATTCGAAACCCAGAGTCTACTTTGCACTTATATCATACTTCATTTGGGGCCAGCTGTGTTTCAAATGCCTATCAGCTGCCTGCCTGCAGTGGCCAACATGAACTTGAGTTACAAAGGGCCTGATGGGTGTTCACCAAACCTGGGGTACCTTTGTGTGTGACTTCCCTTTTTCTTACCTGTGGTAGAAGCAAAGGAAATTCAAGGCCAGGTGGAGTCTGGCCCCAATCCCAACCCTGGCTGGCACCTAGGGTCGTTGGGATTCTCCTCCCAGGCCTAAGAATCTACTGTCACAGAGGTGGACCCAGGTCATGTGGATTCTTACACTTCCCTGTGCTTTGAACTCCTGTTGTCTTCATCAGGGTGTCATCAAGAGCTTCGGAGTGAGGAGCAGGGGAGCCCCAGACCCAGGAAGTTGCTGTTCTGGAGAGTGCTGGTGGAGGCCCTGGGCCACAGTGTCAGGAACAGCCGCAGAGCTGATGATCAGCTCATGCCTGGCACAGATTAAAGCACACCTTCTCATCGTTCTTCTTCTTTTAAAATAAAAATACTGTATTTACTTAGAAGCATTCAGAATGTCAGCAAAACTATGTCTTTTTTTTTTGCAATTACAGAATGATGTTCAGTTATTAATTATTTCATATAAGGTGCATCAGATAAAACCAAAGATGAAGCGACTACCTTCTTCTGCTCATTGTTCTTCGCAAGTCCTCTTCCCTGCCAAAGTGTCCTGATTTGGTGTAGGTTCTCACCAGGTTTATATTTCCCACATATCAGGAATCAGATTCCATTCTAAAGGCCGGAACCCAAGTCCTCCCCTCCCATGTCATCATACCTCGAAGATGAGAAGATGAGCTGCATCTATTCCACCAAGGAATGCCTTGACTCTGAACTTCACCCTGCTCCAGAGCCTACTTCTTCTCCCACACCTGAGAGCGGCTGGCAGAAGCCTTCTTGTTCTGACCTGGGAGATGGGGCTGTGTCCCTTCTCTAAGCAGGTGGATTCATGTGGATTTGCCTTCCTCAAGGTAGCTTTCTTCACATAGAGAGCAAAATGAGGCAGGCACTTGGCACTGTCTGGGCTTTCATACCTCTAGGGGGCTGTTGAGCTGTGTCCACCCTCAGGGGTGCCTAGCAGGAACAGGGCCAGGACCAGGGGGAGGTAGCTCCTCTGTAAGAGCAGCAGGCATTTGCTCCCTCACACAGGACGAAGTCTGGAGGTAGAGGTCTTCAGAGAGGAATAATTCTTGGTATTGGCAGAGGTCTATCTTCTTGTCTATCTTCTCTGTGGTTATCTTGACTTTTCCCAAGTGCCATTGCTTTAAATATCAACTCTTCATATGACTTTACCAAAGCAAGAAAGAAAAGGAATTACTCCATGGTGTCCTTTTTCCCCCCACCTCTGGTACTAGGGATTGAACCCAATGGCACTCTACCACTAAGCTTTATCTCCAGCTCCATTTTTTATATTTTTTATTTTGAGACAGGGTCTTGTTAAGTTGCCCATGCCTGAACTTGTGATCCTCCTACCTTAGCCTCCTGAGCAGCTGACATATCAGGTGGTTCTAATTGCCTGACCAAATGTCCTCTCTTGATTGAAAGGACTTTCTTTCAGAAAAACTTCAGAGGCTTCCTTTCATTTACCACCCATGACTGGCAATGTTGATCCCCAACACAGGGGATGGTTTGAGGTCAGGGAGAAGGGTTGATTGAGTTCTTTACTCTCATGCATTGATAACCCTTTGGAGTCCCAGACCTTTCTCTGGAAAGTAAGAAGGAAGAGATATTGCTCTCTAGGTACACCTAGACTCTGTTACATCTGGAGTTAAAAATGTTTAACGTGCACATAATGGGATATCTGAGAAAACCTATTCCAAATCCTGACACTGCACAAAAATAGACAACTCTGGATAAGGACATGCAAAAAATAATGTTCAAAGAAGAATATCACACTGGAGAATCAGGGCAAATTCTTTTAACAATATTTATTGAACACCTACTATGAGCCAGGTACTGTTCTAAGTGGTGGGAAGATAACAGTGAGCTCAAAAGAAATCCTGTCTTAATGACCTTTTTATTCTAGGGCATGTGGGGGACAGGACAAATAAAAAGGTAAACGTACATACACACATTTTTTGAAAAAAGACTAGAAGACAAATGAAGGGAGAAGTGGGAGAGGGGTGCTGGGTCCTTGTTCAATAGGGGGACCAGAGATGGCCTCACTGGGAGGTGACACCTGCGTCTAAAGCAACAGTGGGGACTAGTCTTGGGGGCACTTGGGGAAAAAGTATTCCAGATAGGGAGGACACCAGAGTCCTTGGGTGGGAATATGACATTTGAGGAACAGCAGGGAGGCTATATGGAAGGCACAAAGAGCCATGGACAATCAGGGGGTGAAGTCAAAGAGAGATGGGGCCAGAGCGCCATTTGTGGGCATGGTGTACATTCCTGGTGAGGCAGGTTCCTGCTCACCTTCCAACAGGGTCACTCCAGTATTTTTTTGGGGGGGTGGTTCCAAGGATTGAACCCAGGGGCCCTTGACCACTTAGCCACATCCCCAGCCCTATTTTGTAATTTTATTTAGAGACAGGGTCTCACTGAGTTGCTTAGTGCCTCGCTTCTGTGGAGGCTGTCTTGGAACTTGCAATCCTCCTGCCTCAGCCTCCCAAGTGCTAGGACTACAGGTGTGTGCCACCATGCCTGGCACCCGGTACTTTTGAAGCACAGATGGCAGGGTGGCAGAAGGCACCCTGCTGACCTCTTGAGGGAGGTCAGGGAGAGGGGTTGATTGAGTTCGACCTTTGAAAGATGGGGGAAGCTTGGATCAGAGTGGTAGTTGTGGAGGGTGTATGATAGACAGCACTTGGATCCAAGCCATATCTGCACAGTAAAGCCAGAGGGAGTTGTTTGAAAGAATTGGGGCTATCAAGGTCAGTCCCATGATTTTTAGTCAGAGGAACCAGAATAATGGAGTGGCTTTGAAGGAAGCAACTGTAGGAGGAACAGATTTGGGGAGAGAAGATCAGAAATTGGGAACATGAGAATGTGAAGTTACAAATGTGTCTCAGAGCCGGGCATGGTGGTGCACTCCAGTAATTCCAGCAACTCGGGAGGCTGAGGCAGGAAGACCACAAGTTGGAGGCCAGCCTCAGGTTTTTAGGGAGACCTAAGCAACTTTGTGAGACTGTGTCTCAAAATAAAAAAATAAAAAGGCTTGTGGATGTAGCTCAGAGGTTAGGACGTCTGGGTTCAATCCCCATTACCAAAAAGAAATAAACAACCCACAAATGTCTCTCAGAATTCAAGGACAGGGATCGTGACTTGATGGAGGCTGAAATTCTGGCTCCAACCAGCAACGACCAGGCAGGCTGGACATGTGTTTTGGAAAAACCTGGTTTTTGAGAACTGGCTGCTGAACGCAGAAAGTTATGAGATGAAAAAATGAGGTGGACAAATCCAGGACGGCACAAAGTGCAACTTATGGGGACTTGTAGACAGAAATATTAGATGGCAGGAAGACAGGAGAATCCCTGCATTCAAGGTAGGAGAAAGGGGTTTATATGCTTAGCTAGACAAGGGTGGGCCACGGCCAGCCAGAATGTTCCTGGCCTTTCCAAAGAACTATTAATATGTCAAGTGTCAGATAAGAGAAAATCTAGGCATTCAGTGGCCAGCACAAATGCTGGGTTAACTACCTTAACAACTTAGTAGTTTTTCCTATAGGGTTTGAAATGTATGTCAGTGTCACTGGGGCAGGCAAAATGGCAAGGCTGCAGTCATGTCAAGCCTACACCATTTGAGCTTGAACTGAAAACATGCACACAGTGTTTGTAATACTGAGAGAGTCAGGGTTAGAGAATAGGTGAGCGCATCTAGAGAGAGAGAGCCTAGGGATTAAGTCATTGCACAGCAATACATCAAAGTTGGGATATAAGGTAGAACCAGAAAAGGGAGCTGAGGAGGAGCAGCAGGAGAGGAGAAACAGGGGTGGTATGGAGATAGGCAAAGGCGGTAGTAGGAAGGTGTAAGTCCATGCAAAAACCCATGAGAGGTTACATCAGTGGGAACTAAGGATTATTGTTAGATTTGGGGGTCTTTGAAACCTTACACCACCAGTTTTGGTGGATGAAATTAATTGTAACAGGTTCAAGAGTGACAGGGTGAGAGTGAGCATAGATTGTGAATGTAGATAATTTTTTTAGAATATTTTTCTGAAAATGAGAAAAAAAAGACATAAGAAAAATAGAGTCAAGAGGGTATTTTTGAGTGAAAGATATCTTACTTGCCAAGGTGTCTTACTCTGTTCAATCTGCTCTAGCAAAATACTGTCGATTGACTAATTTATACACAATTAAAAATTATTTTTATTAGTTGTTCATGGGTCTTTATTTTATTTACTTATTTATATGTAGTGCTAAGGATTGAACCCAGTGCCTTGCACATGCTAGACAAGCACTCAACCACTGAGCCACAACCCCAGCCCCCACACAATACAATTTTTTTCCCTCAAGTTCTGGAGACTGGAAGTGCAAGATCAAGGTGCCAGGAGATTTGGAGTCTGGTGAAGCCTTTCTCTCTGCTTTAAAGATAGGGCATTCTTGTGTTTTCCCATTATGAAGGAGCAAAATATCCCCCTCAGGCCAGTTGTGATGGCACAAACCTGTAATCTCAGCTACTTGTGAGGTTGAAGTAGCCTCCTACTTCAACTCATATGAGTTCGAGTCCAGCCTGGGCAACTTATTGAGACCCTCTCGCAAAATAAAATTATTATTTTTAAAAGGGATGGGGTTGTATCTTAGTGGCAAAGCACTGGCCTAGCACGTGCAGGCCCTAGGTTCAATCCCCAGTTCCACAAAAGAAAACAAAAATCCCCCTCAGACCCGCTTTACTCAGGATTTGTGTTAGTCAGTTTGTGTCACTGTGACAAAATACTTGGGAGAAATCAACTTAAAGGAGGAAATGTTTATTTTGGCTCACAGCTTCAGTCCATGTTTACTTGAACCAGTTGCTTTTAGGCCTGTGGTGAGGCAGAAGCACATGATGAGGGAAAGCTACTCAGCTCATGACAACCAGGAAGCAAAGAGAGAGCTTGATTTTATAACAAAAAAGCCCTCCCCACCAACAGATTAAACTGTGAATCCACCAATGGTCAAAGCCCTCATGATTCAATCATGTCCAAAGGCCCACCTCTGAACACTGCTGCGTTGGGCACCTAGTCTTTAACACATGAACTTTTGGGGGACATTTAAAATCCAAACCATAACAGCCATTATTGTAGGGACAGACGAGGCAAGGCACCGAAGATAGCAGGAAACAGTTTTATTTGGCTGCAGCCAGGTTCAGATTACAGCTTTTGCTGTAATCAATCAATCCCCTGAACCCTGAGTTCGGGTAGTTTCAGAATTTTATACCCAACATGTAAGGGGAGGGGCTCAGAAGCTCACATAAAAGCAGCTTTTTCTTTCACTGGGTAAGTTAACACTTCAAGGACAACACCTGAGAAGGGGAGAGCTTCTTCTCCCCCTTCTTTCCTCCCCCTGCCAGCTGTTACCATGGAGCCCAATTGGTAACTTCTCTTAGAAATGTA